GTTGTTGTTTGTAAAAATTACAAAGCTTTTCGGATTTTTAGAGAATTGCTCCATGAACAGTTGGCGCCCATAAGATGAAGAGCACTGCAGATGCTCATCCGCAGTGGCTAGCAGAACAACCCTTCTACTTTTATCATATGGGTCTTTAGGATCTAACTCCCTGACATACTTGGCATGTTTGAGGGCAAAGGGATTTTCCCTCGTCGTGCTAAATGCCTTTAAAACGGAATCGCCCATCCATTCCAGCATGCTTTGAGCAAAATCAATAAGACGGCAAGCCTCCACGCCAGTGATGATCAATTGAGCAGGGGCTTTTGAAAGCTGCCAGTACGCATCAAGCAGCAAAATCAACTCCAACGTTTTCCCCACGGCCGGGCAAATGACAAGGATATCTCCAGACGGATTTGCTTTCAGATGTAAAGAGATCATTTCAACCAATTCTGTATCTCTTGATTTCCTAGACGGTAACACCGTTAATGCAAGATCTGAATCGGTAATAAATAAAGAAGGCCTTCCCGACGAATTGGCTGCCAAAAAGCAGGAATCCAAATGCCTAAACACATTATGGCGTTAACAAACCTTTCTCTTTTAGTGCTGATGCCAACCGCATAAATGATGTCATCGGTTCCCTTTCTAATGCGCCAATATGCACCGCCAAGCGACGCCCCTGCTGCAAATGGAGATATGATGATGTTCTCAATGGTAAAAGATTGAGAATATCGTAGAGTTACAATTCGCTTAAACAAATGCTCAATGGCATGTGGAGGATACAATTGCGAGTGTGATACTCTCACCAAAGATGCAGGCTCGTTTTCGTCTTTTTTTTCATCATGCTCTTTGACAAAAATTGATGATTGAAGGTCGGAAAACAGTATTCTGGCCATACATTGGGTGGCTAGGGTCATATAGATAGGGGCGCTGGCTGGAAGCATCGGCAAAATTAATGGTAGACCGCCTATAAATTCCACGGAAGCATGGGAACAAAGTACAAGAGAAACATCTTTCAAAAGGGTTTTAAAGGATTGAAGGGTCGAGCCGAGAACTACCCCGCTCGAGGAAATGCTAACACCGCCGTCAAGAAGAATTTTCGTATTATCTATTTCTAACAAATAGCAATATGGTCTAAACGAAGATGTCTCAAAAGATTCATCAACCAGCGATGTTAGATACAGAAGAGAGGTTGCCGCGGGTGCCTCATCCCTGTCCATTAAATTAATAATTTGCCTAAATTGAAAATTAAGGTTTATTCGCCGTCAAGTGGCAAAATTGACAGTTCTCATTTTAAAAGGGAGAATCAACTATCCCATTTACAGATCGCAGCTTTTTTGGGGAAAAAAGAGAGCTTTTAGAGATCATCGAAACTTGATCCGGAAGTGTGACGATTATATTCCTATCCTGCCCATATTTAAAGTTATCTGCGACCACCGTATCGGAGTATTTTCTAATAGAATAGTCGTATAGCTTCCCTTGTCTGATTGCCTTCATGCTCCAAGTGATCACGTAGGGGCCGGTGCTTGCAACAATAGAACGATCTGCAGCCTCGCCCGTTGAAAAATGGGCTTCCGTAAACGCAACCGATTTCACACCCATATATGCTACATGCTCTGGCTTCAATTGGAGCCGGATGGGCACCGGTTTTTCGGAGCCAAGTGACTTGGTAAATCCGGTGTTCTTTCCATCCGCCAGATCTGTATTGATGAGCAGGATGTAGTTTTTGCACGTCGCCAAAATGGCTTTTCCATCATCTGTTGTATCTATTCCCAGGATGGGGTCTAAATTAATTAATAGGCCATTGAAATCATACCGCCAAAGCCTGGAAGAAGCGTTTTGGCTCGTTTATCCAGCTTGTTGAAAAGGCGTATGTCGCCCTTTAGACTGGCAACGGCCAGCTCTCCCGACGCGGTGGTTGCGCCGCAAGAGAAATCATTTTTGACGACATATTGCTTGGATTCGGATTCGACCCTCTTGGTCCCAGACAATCTCGGGTCAATTCTAAAGATCGAGTTATGATTCATTCCAATCAAAGTTTGACACGCAGTCATTTGAGCATATTTTGAATCGGGGACTATATTTGTAACGGTGGCGTCTGCATCAATCTTCCACTCTTCTACCACCTCGCCGCGTTCAAGATCCATTTTATAAAGCGAGTGCTCATCGTTTGGCCTCATCAAAATCAGACTTGAATCGTTATCATGCAACATCAGCTTTGTGGGCGAAAACAATTTTTTATCCGAGGGGGACTTTACGGATGTGATTGTAGTCTCGAAAGAGATTCCGTTGGTGTCTGTTGTTTTGAAGACCCCAATGGCAGATCCACGCGAAACGAATGTGCGGT